AATATTTCTACCGCTGCATAAGACTAGAGGTGGTGCAGAAGCCTTTTTGGCAATTTGTTTCTCGCCACTCACCAACGATGTATGTCCATGAGCAAAACCTCAAAAAATGTTCCACTTCTCTGAACCCGTTAGGCTGGAGGAAGATTGTGGTACATCCTTTATATCTGAGAAGAGATGGAACCCAAAATGGGCTGAAGAACTGTCATTCATCAAAAAATCTTAAGAGTAGGAACACCGGGAAAGCAGCGATAAGCCTCTGAGTCGTCTTGAATGACGAAAACTTAGTGAACTACGCAATCGATGAGTAGCCGTATTTGGAACGTCATCCAAAAGCTTCGGAACAATGATTAGGAATATTATCTGACCAATAAAAATAAAGTCCCTCTGTTTAAACAGCTTTCTACACAAGCCACAAGGCCAGAAAACAAAACTATCAGAAATTATAAGAAGAAAAGCAGAATAACCTGTTTCGATCAATGAACTGAACCAAGTTCATGGTAAGAGCCTCTCTCGAGACGTTTTCGATTATTGCGTACATTAATAAGTCATTCACGTAAGATCTATAACTAGAGTCAAGAAAAGGTTTAAAATTGTAAGGAATAGGAAAACACAGAAAGTTTAAAACCCGAATAAATAGCGAAATATGGTCATTTAAAAGTTTTTTCTATCTATTATTCCAAGGAATGAAACAAACAGGAAACGATCATTTCGCTGTTTAGTGAGAAACCGAGTTCTTTATTTGAAATAGAAGTAGCAGCAAATAGGCCGAAAATGACATGACTGTTGGTCCGGACAGCACACGATCTATACTACTGAATGAATAAAACGGACCCTGGATCTGAGGTTGTCCAAACAATTTTTTCCAAGGATTTGAAAGGGTCAACGAATTATCATTGGAGAGAAAGCATGCGATATTCATTTAATTGCATAGCTGATCAGGCTATAGTGTAGACTGTTGCAGCTACAGATTTGAACACTGAAGAAAACGGTTCCCTGGCTAGTTAGAAGTATGAAACGCTACTCCTCCTGAATTTGATTTAGTGTTGTTCTTATCAGCGTGGTCGAAACCTGGTTCTATGTTTACTACAAGACAAAACAATTCACTGTGTTATAATTCCGATCCCCGGACGTCTAAATAGCCACTCAAGCAAATCACAGCTCAATTGTTTAATGTCTTACTGTTGTTTATCATATGCACGTGTCATGCTACAAATCGTAGACCTCCCTTTGCAATCCAGAAACAACTTGAACATTAGAAAGTATGCACATCTTGCTTGCGGACGAAGGGCGACCAAGTCCATGCTAGAAGTACCATATCAAATAATGGGCGAAGCGTAACTTCATTGATAGACCGGGAGATCTGGCGCAGAGTAATGCATCATGCCATCTGCTTTGTGAACAGAGGAATATAACTGACGCTTTTCCCATCGTTATCACAATGTGGATCGGAGTGTTGGCAAAATTAATTGTGACAAGGCTAAATCACAAGAAATAATTATTCACAGTATGATTCATCAGCCTTTGCGCTTCAATATAGTTCGCCTGTACAATGCCTTTCTAAAGACAATTTTCTGTTCTCAGCTCGATGTTGGGCCCTTAAAGAAAACATCGTATCACCTTGTGAAGATCGCAATGACGAGGCAATATTTTCAAACATCTCCGTCCTTTCGTCACGACGTAGCAATACACCTTGCTGTTGAATTTCGACTGTGAGTCAATTGAACTCAATGTAAGGAGTAGATAAAATAATCACATGGGAAACATGTTTAATTCAGATGAATCATAAAATAATTAGCACGTTGTGACAGAGTTATCAGTGCAGATTTCTCAGAGTTAACCAATTCAAATCACGGTGGATGACCTTTTTTCCAATTCCTGACTATGGTCGATCGAACGTCATTCCCTTCATGTTATGCAAAATCCTCTATGTTCAATGAATGGACGACAGCGAAACAGTTTTAACATGTTTTGGAGATAAATGTGAGTTCTGACCTCAGATCTTTGTTTCCGATCTCGTCTTTGTCCAAGACAAAAGGAGCTCCGTCGACTCCTATCCCTGGAATCCCATTGGTAAACTTTGTACTGGTTCTTGACAGTCTTTGCTGCTAATGTATCGGCGCTGGAGCATTTACTTCATGTGCTTCGGTCTGTCATGGTAATCGTTTACTTAGAGCTCAAGAACAATGCACAGAGGTGCGATTAGCTTCCACCTTCCATCGCCGCTTCTCCTTTCGCGACGCTGAGGCAGACACGTCAGACAGAGCTACCAACGTTCCCGATCCTGTGCCAGAGTCTGAGCTTCGTCAAAAGACAAATGCAGTCTGCAACAGACTCCCTCCATTGGCCTGCACCAGGTTAATCTTGGCCGTTTCCTGGGTCTTTTGCCGGTCGGATTTGCAAGGAACAGTTGCTTAGCCTTCCTTTCTGGAGACATTCGCAACACATGCC